CTGTAAAGCACTATAAAGCGGTATATAAGTCTAAGTGTTATTGCTATTGCTATTTTTATATTCTCATGTTCAAAGTCCTTTGCAGGAAAGATGAACAATACAAACATTTTAAATGCATTAAGCAAGGATAGAAAATCAAGTATTAAATATGAAGTGGAACAAAAGAAAGCTTTTCTAAACTTGGAGTCAAATAAAACTAAACAGCCAACAAGTAGCCGCAGAAGCTGAAAGCTTTTCAAAATAAATAGGTTTTACAACCTTTCCAAAAGGCCGGAAGAGAAAAACAGTTTCCCATGTCAACAGAGAGCTGAATCCAAAGCTTTGGAGCAACTGTAGTCGAAGTCTGATACTTGGCTGTTGATAGTTTGTCTCACATGAAGCTGAAACAGATCTGAACATTTTCCCATAACTGGGACTGAGGCTTAAAGGGAAAGCCTCTCTCTTGAGGGCCTCAATCTAAGACCACAACTAATGTCAGAAACAAAAGAGGAGCACTCTGAGACTCAGAGACAGCCTATGTGTCGACATTTATTCTAAGCACGGATATTCTTGCCTTTAAAGAGCCATCAAAAAATAAGTCAGTCCTATCATTAGGACCAGAAAAAGGCATTTGTTCATCTTTCCAATACAGAAAGATGGATGGGCTTGTCCAGTTGGAAATAAGCTCTATATGTCATACAATATTCTTTTCTCTCTAATCAGTGATATTAATTATATTCAAGTATAGCATCATGTTTGCTTTTCAAACTGAGGTTGACAATTCATATATAATTCATTGTTTAATAAATAGAGAGTGTATGCACAGTAAACAATTCAGTTAACCTTATTAGATTAATTTGTTAATTGTATAAATGTTGAGAGAGAGAGAGAGAGAGAGAGAGAGAGAGGGAGGGAGAGAGAAGGAGGGAGGGAGGGAGGGAGGGAGGGAGGAAAGAATATGTTTGTTCTTTTATAGTTGCCCCCCTTCTCTCAAACCTATAGAGCAAGATCACGGATTATTAGAATGAATTGTGGGGAAAAAACTGGATCATTTGATTGAGTGTAAATTGATGTAATTAATGAGCCATTAAATAAAGTAAAATAAAAATGGTTGGCCACAAAAACCACTCACATACTTTAGGGAATGGAGGAAAGGTTATCATCATTATATGTATCCCATTATCATTTAGCTTCCTGTTTCATTTTCTACAGGTTCAAGGAGATCAGGGGTGTCACTCTTAAGGCCCTTGGGCTGGATGCGGCCCGCGGGGTGTTTAAATTTGGTCTGCAGGGCTGGCCTGGAAGTAGAAAAAGACTGGCCCATGGTGCCTCTGGCAGCCAAAATGGGGCACGGGGAAGCTGCATCTGCCCCCCCTGCACCACATTTTGGTTGGCACAGTGCTGTAGGAGCCTGTCCAGATTGAAAACAGGGCACAGACACCATTTTGGCCATCAGGGTGCTGCAGGAAACATCCATTCCGGCTTCCTCCCTTCTCCGGCCAGCGAGGATAACTACAATGCTGATCCAGCCCTCAAAGAAATCAAGTTTGATGCCCTGAGGTAAATTCTAGCCTATGAAATGAATTGATAATTGTATAAGATTTTCCTACATTACCATAATACAGGTAGCTATCAACTTACAGCCATTCATTTAGTCACCATTGGAAGTTACAATGGCACTAAAAAAAAGGGACATTACTGTTTTTCATACTTATGACCATTGGAGCATCTACATTGTGGTCTAAGTTGAGGACTACCTGTAATTATCATTTATCTGCAATGGAGGATATGAAAATGAGGGATTAAAGAAAATAAAAGATAAGTAGGTCTGACCACTATCGTAATTCTTCATCAAATCTGGGAGCATATAGATTGAGTGGTTGATAAAATCAGAAATGAGAAGGTAACAGATTAACAGAGTTGGAAGGGACCTTATGGGTCATCTAGACCAACCCCCCCACTCAAGCAGGACACCCTACATAAGCCACCTGGGAAAGCAAAGGGAAATCATCAAAACCATTAAAAAAGAGAAAATTAGAATATTTTGGACATGTGATGAAACACCCAGAAAAATATGCCATACTTCACTTAATCCTCCAAGGAAAGATTGAAGGCAAACGAGGTGCAGGCAGAAGAAGAACATAATGGCTTCAAAATCTAAGGGACTGGAAATTCAGCAGCACTTTTCGTGCATGTGTTAAAAAAATAGGATTGCCAACATGATCGCCAATGTCCTATGACAGATATGGCACAAGAAGAAAAAGATAAATTGAGCAATTTATAACTTAAAGCTTATATTTCTAAATTTTATCAGGAAAGACATTTATTCGTTATTTAACTTTAAAAGAAAACAACCCAGCACCTATATCTTGGTTCTAATAGCTCTGCTACTGAAAGTCTCCTTGTTCTATTCTTTTGCCTGGGGATTTAAATAGTGTCTGAAGACAAAGAAACTGCTAAAAAAAATGTTTGTCAGATGAACACCATCACAAATAATGGTAAAACTATCTTCACCCAAAAAAAAATGGAAATAAGAAGGGGAGACGTGAACAAAAGAACTAAGAATAGAAAGAAAAATGGAGAGGGTCACATATCTATTATGGGTCATGAGTTTGCCCCATCTCTTATATAAAGAGTTGAATAATCCCCAAACATGTGCAAACTATCCTGCTACCCTCCTAACATACAGAGCAAACTTTATCTAGTGTTACTTTTTGAAGACTGAGATAAGAGTTTTGAACATATGATATCCCATCCTTTCACTTGACACTAGAAATTATGTTATCTATATGCCCCTTTTTTCCAATTCACGTTCATCAACTGTGTGCAGTTTTGACAGAGATGAAGTGTGCAGAAATTATGAATTGTGGCTCGTCTACTTCCTAATATTGCCAGTTATTCCACGTCACTTAAATCATTGTTGAGTAAGTGAGCAGTTAACAGAGCTAGACAACTGCAAGATATATTCCGTATGAAATGACTGAATCAAATATTGAGATCTATATATAATTGTGACAACTTCTTGATATTTCAAAGTACCATTCCAGCTTTCAAACAACTAATTACTTGAACCTTTTTTTTAAAAAAAAGCCAGGAAGGCAGTAAAATGTAAAATAAAAGGATAGGATTGCATGTCAATGCAGAAAGAGGATTTGATAATACACCTTTTTTTCAGAATCACTATCTAACAATGAAGAATATCTAGTTATATTACAAAATGGAACCGTGATTGAAGGGATTTTCACAGATCAGACAAATGTGTCAGCACGTATGAGAGTTCATGACTTGGCAGAGACATGGTAACAAAGTCAGCTAATGAAGAGACATGGCAACTGGATAAGCCAATGAGGGCTGTTTGGAAACTGAAACAGAATTTACTGTGTGAGCAACAAGGAGACAGCAAGGAGCCTGGGCGTGGCTTAGCTCTGTAGCTCTGAGTCTGTGCTGAGCTCTAAGCTAGTCTGCTGCTCTGAACTGAAACTGTTCTCTCCTCTGCCTGTGTCTGCTTCTATTTTCTACCACGTTGGAAAACCTGTTTTTGGTATTGTGTATTTACTTCATGTTTTATATTATAAAGAGAAGTTAATGAATCAGGCTGAATCAGTTACCTGTGTGAGCTTTCTGGATGTGATTGCTGCAACAAACTCTGACAAAATGGCCACAAAATGTAAGATTATGTGTCTGATTTTGTTTATAACTATCAGATACTCAGGCTCTTCTATGTAGATGAAACTTTGAGAAAATAGCATACATTCTGGAGAAAAAGCCTTTTGCATTCATTTAGGCTTCTTCAGATGAATTATGATTGTTTTTATTATAGAGGGAGGGGCTCAGATTTGGTTTCAAATATGCAAGTGACACTGTAGGAACCAAGCAAGAGTTGATTAAGTTTATATTTGATGTTACAATTAAATGCTAGGAACTGATTCTGTAACAAAGTTTTCTTTTGACATTTAATGATAAGTAAGCAGCACATAAAGGTCTGATATACGAAAAATAAATCTTTGGTGATTTATTGCTGTCCTGAATTCTCCTCCCCCCCCCCCTGCTTGTTGTCTTAGTCATTATCTTCTACTCAACAAAATTCAATAGTACAAAATATAAACCATGAGGCAGACAAATTTAACTAACCCCATGGATAACAAATTGACTCATGGGCCCAGATGTAATTTAAGCCTTGCGTCAGATCTGGGACAATTTGCTTAAAAATATGTCACCTTGGTCATTCAAAATTGGCAGCCTTCCCCCCTCCCACTTTAAAGGATCAATAGAGACAAGTTAAGCCAAATTCCTTTTTTATCCCAGAATGATTCATTTTTTCGTGTCTGTCTCTCAAAGTGCTTGATGTTCCACATATATTTTTAATACTTACCTGTTTATTTTCCTTTTTTTCCCCTTTCATTTTTGAGTACTTCATCAGCTAATTCTCAATCCTAATGAATACAGACACTGGGATTCTTTGTACGGAATAGAATCGTAGTGGTGAAATATTTATCATCTGTTATACTCTTTCTTTTATGAATTGAATGGTTTATATATAACAAAACAATACATAATTAAATCCAGAATAATTGTATCAAAATCCACTACCTTATTATTCCCAGTCTTTCAATAGAACCAACATTTAATTTCTCAAAGTGTAAATGTCTACATTTTAAAAATTATTCAGGTTTATCGAATGGCAATATATATTGCAATTACATTACCTGTGTACTCTAAATGAAAGCCGGCAGCCGACACACTAATATCTGACTGAAAATTTAAGTACAAATTGTTGGATGTACTATTAAGAAGCGGAGGTATTGTGGTTCCTGGGGAGGAAAAAAGAAGTTTCCAGGTTATTAATCTGCAATTAATTCTGCTATTTTTTTCCACATTTCACAGTTTTATCTATAAATATAAGCAATGTCTCACTTTACCATTTATATCCATTTCAAAAGAGTGCTTTTAATAGACAGTTTTTGCTTGGCTATAAAGTAACCATGGGATCCAGTCAAACACCTCTGTTCTTAATGAATGAGATTGGAAAGATTCCATTTCTTTTCAAGTTAAGAAAGGTTTAGAAAGCGAGTTTGAAGTAGTAGATTAAAGAACTGAAAAGCATGAGAGAGAGAAAAGTGAAATTAAAGTACCTCTAGTTTATGTGAACACCATTCACAATTCTTCTCCATATCATTATCTTTCAAACTATAATAGCTTCCATCACACCTAGGAAGATCTTGTCAAGTCCATCTATTCAGTGGTGGGTTCCTATCAGTTTGGACCAGTTTGGCCGAACCAGTAGTGGTTTGGCGGCCTGGGTCGCTGGAACCTGCCATGCCCCAAAACCGGTTCTCCCACTATCTTCTTTTTCACTTCTGCACATGCACAGAAGCATTTATATTCTATTGTGCATGTTCCTGCAGCACGCATCAAATGCACAAGCATCATGCATGACCGAACAGGCAGTAGAGCCTGCCAGAAACCACCCCTGCATCTATCCATGTCTTTTTCAGTCTTCCCATCCTCTTGTTATATTCACAGGTAGTCCTCAACTTATAACAGTTCACTTAGTGACTGTTAAAAGTTGCAATGGCACTGAAAAATGTGATTTATGACCATTTTTCAGAGTTGTGATCTTTATACCATTCCCATGACCTTGTGATCAAAATTCAGATGCCTGGCAACTGATTCATATGTATGACCGTGGCTGTGTCCCAGGGCCCTGAGAAGAAAAGTCACTGGAGAAACCAGATTCACGGAATAACTGGAACTTATCAACTGCATGTGATTCACATAACAACTGTGGCA